AACCCCCCTGGCTACGGGCATGAAACCTGACATATATTGTGCAAAACATCCATTTTTAAGGCTGTACTCATGTATTTTAAGCTGCATTATGTAACATTAAGAAGATACAAAAGTCATTTTTTTGGTTGTTTCTTTAAGTTGAATCAACCCTTTAGGTTAGTCTATTGCAAATAAGCGCCATTCAGAATGGGGAGATGCCAAAATACGATGCCTTACAAGTGTGTTGAAGCTTGAAACACAGCTGTCGGCCATGTTTGTTTACCTTCTGGTATTTTGTGGTGGTACCACAAACTGAGTTCGCCTCGTGTGGGCTGTTTTAGTCCCAACCATAAATGTCAGAAATGTGGGATGATTGCGAAAATATGTCCAAAAGTGGAAGTAAATTATAATCTCACGAAAATTTTCCAATTAAGATATTTCATTCATTGGTGCAAAAATGTTACATAATGCACCTTTAAGGACGGCATTGTAGCTGTCTATAGTTTTCAACTGTTCACTGTTGGAAAGCTGTGCAATGGGCAAAGTTCTGATGCAACGTTGACCAAAAATCCAACGAAAACCGAGAAAAATCCAAGTTTCGCGCAGGTGCAGTACGTTCTGCAGACATGCTGCAGACACTATGACCTTCAGTGCAGTTCCGTGCCCTTGGTGTTGGGGAGTTTGATCGCGGCGAGTCCCCCGATAACGAGAAGCGAGGCTACCATGAGCAGCGGGATGGCGCAGTGCGTGTCCACCAGCAAACCGAACACCACGTTTCCCAGAATGGCGGCTATCCTCCCCATGCCTGTCTGGATGCCCATAGCAGTAGACCTGGAAGTAAAGGTAGCAACACATTCAAGTACACTGTACAGCACAATCGTGTGGAGCAGTGGACCTGGAAGTAAAGGTAGCAGCACATGCATGTGGAGCACATCCATACCGAGCAATGGACCTGGAAAGAAATGTTCACTTTTTCAGTGGATCATACATGTACCTCAAGCATTTTTATACTTGTTGATTGTATGTGTGTAGAAATAATTTTTGGACTACTAAGACCTCGAGGCTAACAGAAGAATGGTTTAAAGCTTATGGATAAAAAATCTCTCAAATATTAGGTTTAATTTAATATGATCCATATATAGAAAAAGAAATGAGAACACTTACACACAAAATTTGAAAAAACTAGAAAGGTAACATTTGCAAAGCAAATGCATAATGTTGACCTTCGCATATGGTCTGCTCTGTTAATTCTTACTCAAACACATTCATATATACATGTATATGAGTATCAGACAGGAGGCTACATCCCTCCTACTATAAGATTGCAACATTACGTAACCCAACACTAGTTACCATGGTGACAGACGTCAACAAATCAGGTCATTGGCCAGGTCAGAGGTCAGTGTTTGGAGAAGAAGAAGAAGAAGAGGAAACTGAGCAAAAACAATATGTTCTCCTTCGGTAAACATAAAAATTGAGACCAATAATGTCTAATTGCAATGGAAATTAAAAGAGCCCTGAATAGTTGTCATACCTGAGATGAGTAGGATATAGTTCTGCACCCAGGACATCCAGACTGTTAAAACAGATGACAGAAATCCCACCAAAGGCACAGGAGGCGATCAGGCTCTGGGTCTTACTGCTCACAAACCAGAACAAAAACACACTGACTCCTGAGAAAAACAAACTTCCACCTGGAAAATAAAAACAGTGAAGAGGATCTTTGTTGTTTACTGTTCACACAAATTTGTTTTGTTTTACTTAAACAACATGTTATAACATTAATAATAAGTGCTTTGAATCCCTCCGAGGCCGCACTTGGAAGCTTACAGAAGAAGCTTGGCTTACTCCGGCTCAGTGGTATGGAATAACATCCAGCCCCACATTAGGGCAGCACCATCCATCCATACCTTCAAGTCACTTATGGAACAGGCATAACTGGGACTCACCATGGACTTGAATTGGCTACGAACCTAATGATTTATTTGTGAACTTATTCATTTACTTATTGTTTTGATTTAATTACTTATTATTTATGTTTGTATGGATTGGGTTCTTATCCGTGACCCCTCCCCTCAACTTCGACCTTGTTGAAAAGCAGCCTTGCGCCTAACAAGCATTTCGAAGAAAAATAAAGGCTTTGACTTGACTTGACTTGACTTGTCTCGATACAGGGCTCGAAATTCATTTTTGGGAATACAGTAGGTACATTTTAAAATTTTGACTCAATCATTGTTCCAATGGTTTTGATTCAGTAGGAACATCACATATACACAGCCAATATCACATATCACTGCATCAAAGTAAGAAACAAAACATTTAAATCAGAGCCTTTTCTTGTCTCCTCTCTTCATGGTTATCTGTCATCCACTTTCCGGCATGGCAACAGACATCTTTGCCCATTTTCGGCACGTTGACCACTTTCAGAATCAGAAGGCAACAAAATTTCTTTTTTTCCCCCCAAATCAGGCGAAAGTCAATGCGTGCGCTGATGTCATCCATGAAAATTACTTGCTGTGGCCTAACTACAGAATATTGCACACGGACACAGAAAACAAACGTTCTGTACAAAGAGGTAACAAGGACACACACACACAAAGGCAACACTAGTGCTGTGTACCTAAACCCACATTTAGGTTCAGGTCCAGAGGTTTAGGTCCAGGTCTGGGCGTGCAAGTCCAGACCTAAACCCATGGCATATACAAAATTGCATGTTGGCAACCTTAAGCTTGCAATATTGTTTGAGTGAAACTTTGGCCACATAACATGGAGGCCGACACTTGACGATGCCCGATGGCAATGTTTTCTTCATTTTGCAGCACAGATTTTCCAATCTATGGAGGGTTTTAGGTGGTTTGGAACAAAAGGGGGTTTGTGACATGGTCTTTTTGTAATAGGTCCGGAACTGGTTCTTGACTTTTAGGTTTTTGGACTTGAACCTATACATTTTTAAAGTCCAGAACCTGTCCAGTGAACCGGTACACAGCACTACACACACACAAAGACAACACTTACTAAGTAGGATCTTTGCCCCAAGCTTGTGCATGAGAACTGTGGCAAAGATGTTCCCCGGTAGATTGGACACAGCTGTGAGAAATCCCTCGAAGTACACATCTTCTGATGGTAAACATGTCTCATTGAGAGGGACGGGTGGAGCGGAGCCGTTTACTCCCTTGTGTGACTCCAAACACGGTGAACCTCCGTACAGGTCTATCCTCTTAAACAGTTCAGGCAGCCACAGCCACAAACCATAGTACCTGGTTAGAAATGGAAACAGTAAAATTAAAGGCATTCAGTGCAGTTTTTAGGGCTTGGAAACCAGATTTTCAAAGCCAATATTCTAGTCATTTATCAACGTACTGAGTCAAAACCACACTATCCCAATGTATATTGACCCTCACACCTCACAGAGCAAAAATTCCCACAAAGTTCTGATGGAAAATGGTTACTGGAAGAGCCCTTGGCTGATTTTTAGGGTACAAAAAGGGTAAAAAAATTACATGAAGTCAACACAAAAGACTGGGTTAATATTCAAACAATGAATTTTGAATTTTTAATCAAACCACTGTATTGATAGATGGAAACACTGTAACAAGTAGGAAGAAAAGGACTTTCCTCAACTGTTGAGGGCAAAATATGGGCATTTTTGAGTTGATTCAGAACCAGAATATTTTTTTTTCTTGCAAATCAGAAAAAAATGAAGAGGTGAATCCGAGAACCTACAAATTAAATTGGTATGGCCTAATCATTCAATATATAAATAAACTTCAATAACACAGAACCAAACTTATTCTTAACCCAGTCTTACCCAAAATAGATGCTGAACATAATAATCATCAATACATTCCAGAGGCCTTCTACATAATACCTACAATACATCATACTGTACATGCACAGTTCAAACTATGAACCAACTCATTTATAATAACTCTGTCTTACCCAAAACAGATGCTGAACATGATGATCATCATCACGATAGTCCGCGATGTCAGCGGGGGTTTGACCAGCTCCACGGTCTGGTTCACGATCACGCGGAATGTCGCTCCAACCTCCGCACATCTCACTCGCCAGGCGGTTTTCCCACGGAGGTGGGGGGCCTTGTCGTCATCCTTTTTTGTGGCCACTTCCAGTTGCCTTACCTGAGGGTTAAAGATAAAAACGTTTCTATTGGCTGTCACATTTAACCTTCTAAATGCTGATTTTTTAATTTATTTTATGACGATTTACCATATTTGTGGAAGGATTGACATAACAGGTGACTATCACCTCTTCAAGATGTCAAACCTGAGACCAGACTGTAAGGTTTGAACCACTCACACCGGGAAGGTCCCCTACTCTTTTCGACAAGTGTGGTGGGTTCTTTAACGTGGGTGGGGTGTGGCTCTCCCAAACACGGGACCTCCATTTAACGTCCTATCCGAGGGACGTCCCTAGCCGAAGCTAGGTACTCATTTACACTTGAGTGAAGTGAGGAAAGTCGTGTAAAGTGCCTTTCCCAAGGGCACAAGATCGGTGACATGGGCAGGGTTCGAACCCACGACCTCTCGGGTGTGAGCCGAACGCGCTACCGACTGCGCCACACACCTGATATCAAACTTGTGGTCCTTAAAGCCTTTAAACCATGTCCTGCACAACAATTGTTGTTCTACACATACAGTACCATCTATATAACACCCTGTATAGGTACAATTTGGGGATATTTCTCATGCAACGTGTCACACCGCAGCGAAACGCAACGAATGCGGAAGTAACTATGCCACTGCAGGGCAAAAAAATTTGGAGGTCTTTGATCTAATTTTGTCCTGCTGTGCGCAACATATGTCGCGCGGCACATACAGTACCATCTATATAACACCCTGTATAGATACGATTTGGGGGTATTTCTCGTGCAACGCATCACACCGCAGCGAAACGTAAAGAATGCGGAAGTAACTATACCACTGCAGGGCAAAAAAATTTGGGGGTCTATGATCTAATCAAGACATGAAATTATTGAAAAATATTGTGCCAGGAATGCCAGCAGGACAAGGGTTAAGTACCACAAGTTTGACAAAGGGTTATTCAGTTCGAAAAGGGATAGCATTAGTAAGGTCAGAAAATTGTAGATCAAAGTACATTGTACATGTAGTTTTCAATTCCAAAAGAATGTCTACTTAGTTGTTATAATTAGATAACTTTCTGTCTCTATTTTACTAAATTAACTACATTGAAAAGAATATAAGAATGTCAAGATGAATACTACATGTACCTAGTAACAACTTGTTGCCATTTTTTGCACTTTTCATTTGCATGCCATCAAAGAAGGTCAAACAAAACTTTTTAAAAAATATCAGACGGAAACAGTTGAACATACAATGTACATTAGAAAAAGGAGAGAGTAGTTGGAGATGGGTACTTGACCGCCACTGATGAAATTAAGTTTGAAAAAATTAAGCAAAGCAAGATGAAGCAAAAGAATTCTAAGAAAAGCAGAAAGTAGAAAAAATGTTGGATAAAGTGTACAAAAGAGCAAAGCAGAATAAAAGAAAGTAGCAAACAGAAGCAGAATAGAAAACAAACAAACAAACAAAGTTGTGTATTGTTTACGTACTGAGTATTGCCTAGGAGTCTTCCCATTGGCTGTGTTCATCTTGTGGACTCGAGACAAAACACGCAGCGCTTCTTTCTCTTTCCCCATCTGAAAACAAAACAATATACAGGACTGTAAAGTACTGTTTTCCAGGAAAAAGAGGCTCAATGTTGGGTATTTCGCCAAATTAGAGGTCTGTCCCTCAAGTACAAGTAGATAGAACGGTATAAAAATGGATCTGCTGAGAGAAAGCAGTTCAACTTGGTGTTGGTCTTGATAAGATATGGAAGCCTTAGCATGTAACTTCTCATTGGTGCAATTTATTTTTCTGACATGCGGAAAATAGCTAGAGATCAAACTTAAAACAAGAATTGGGAGATCTCATACCTCCATGAAATATATGAGTTTTTGTAAATGTTTTTTCGTCTCCTTGATTATGGAAATAATCCAGTTTAAGTTATGGTTTTCTAAATTCAAACTACAAATTACATGTTTCCATGGTTACATGTTTCCATGGTTACATGGCTACATGTTTCCATGGTTACAGGTTTCCATGGTTACATGTTTCCATGGTTACATGTTTCCACGGTTCCATGTTTCCATGGTTCCATGTTTCCATGGTTACATGTTTTCATGGTTCCATGTTTCCACAGTTCCATGGCTACATGTTTCCAAAGTTACATGTTTCCAAAGTTACATGTTTCCAAAGTTCCATGTTTCCATGTTTCCATGGTTACATGTTTCCATGGTTACATGTTTCCATGGTTACATGTTTCCACGGTTACATGTTTCCACCGTTTCCACGGTTTTATGTTTTCATGGTTCCATGTTTCCACGGTTCCATGTTTCCACGGTTCCATGTTTCCATGGTTCCATGTTTCCATGGTTACATGTTTTCATGGTTCCATGTTTCCACAGTTCCATGGCTACATGTTTCCAAAGTTACATGTTTCCAAAGTTACATGTTTCCAAAGTTCCATGTTTCCATGTTTCCATGGTTACATGTTTCCATGGTTACATGTTTCCATGGTTACATGTTTCCACGGTTACCTCCATGAGGAACTTGGGGCTCTCGGGCATGCATGTGAGCAGTAGTGCAGCAGTGAGACTAGGGATGGTACAGAGTGCCACAAACACTCGCCAACTGTCGTACATCATGGTCCCCAGGCTGAACTGTAAGTACGTCCTAGGAAAAACAACAACAGAAACAAGAAAGGTAACATTTCCAAAGGGGATGCATAATGTTTACCATCACATGGCCTAGCGAAACAAACTATATATATTATTAATCGAACACACAATATATACTAGTATATGGTGACCAGCCTCTCAAGCTCTGTCCTGCCACTTGCTACATAATGTAGCCCAACACGACATACAGCACTACTAGTAGTTACCATCATGGTGACATCAGTCTGGTCCAGGTCATTGGCCTCATGTGATCAGTGACCAATTCACTCTCTTTCACTCACTCACTCATTCACTCACTCACTCACTCCATTAACAGAGGTAATGATGGTTGCCATAGTTACCTGGGAATGACCAACCACGCGAGCCCAGCGGCGATGATGTTGCCAAACATCCAGGATGCCGCGAGTACACTGAGCATGGTGCCACGCTTGGACTTGGGCTGGAACTCGCAGTAGTACGCAAAAACCACAGGGATAGAACCTCCAACACTGGGGAAAAACATTCTTGGATTAATTGATTGTTTGCTTGCTTGTTTGTTTGTTTTATATCAATACAACCAAACAAATTGCAGATTTCAGACTTCCAGGAAGTTGAATGTATATTCATCAGGTTTTCGTGACGTTAAAGTTCACCCCATTTCCTGTGCCTGACTTTTGGACCTTCTCTCATACTGTCCCCAACATGCAAATCATACACTCCATCCCAAACATGCAAATGAACAATATGCAAATTAACCACTTACCCCCACTCGACTGAGGAATTGGAAGAAGAGGAAGAACAGGAAGGAGATTGCCATGCTGGAAGCCAGTGTGAGCTCTGCACAGATGTTCATTCCCTAACATGCAAATTTTCCACTAAATCCCAAATATGCAAATTACCAATATGCAAATTACCCACTTACCCAACCTCACTGAGGAATCTGAAGAAGAGGAAAAGCAGGAAGGAGGTTGCCATGCTGGGAGCCAGTGTGAGCTCTGCACAGATGTTAATTCCCTAACATGCAAATTTTCCACCAAATCCCAAATATGCAAATGAACAATATTCAAATTACCCACTTACCCAACCCCACTGAGGAATCTGAAGAAGAGGAATAGCAGGAAGGAGTTTGTCATGGAAGCCAGTGTGAGCTCTGCACAGATGTTCATTCCCTAACATGCAAATTTTCCACTCCATCCCAAATATGCAAATAAACAATATGCAAATTACCCACTTACCCCACTCCACTCAGGAATCTGAAGAAGAGGAAAAGAAGGAAGGAGTTTGCCATGCTGGAAGCCAGCCCGAACAGTCCATTCACTAGGAGGGACAGCATCAACACTTTTCTCCTGCCCTGTACATCAGCAAGAGCCCCCCATACATAGCCTCCAATCATCATGCCTGTAAAAGATGCATAGCCCAGAACATGTGGGTCAAAACCAACTTTGGTTGCCATTTACAATATATGTCTATGTGTATCTTTCTTCCACAAGACCACACATCAAGAATAGAACTTTGTAACTTACAAAAATGTACGTTTTGAACAAGAAGACACTAGTACAGAAAACATGAATACAAAAAGGGTTGTTTTTGGTTACAATCTTCTTTTTTTTAAAACTATTCTTGATGTTATACCTACATATAATATCTTATCAAGAAGCTAATACAGCTTTGTAATATGTTCCAAACAAGGAGATACAGAAAACATGAATACAAAAAACAGTTGTTTTTGTTTACAATTTTCTGTTTTTGTTTACTACTACCGATCTGTTACCTGCAAACAATACACCTTATCAAGAAGCTAATACAACTTTGTAATATGTTTTGAACAAGGAGATACTAGTACAGAAAACAATACAAAATTTTTAAGATACTACAGATCTGTTTACATGTAAATGATATATCTTTCCAAGAAGCTAACATAACTTTGGAGATACAGAAAACACAAATACAAGAATTTTGTTTACAATTTTCTGTTTTTGTTTACTACTGATCTGTTTACCTGCAAAGATGACCCCGCTGAGCCATCCCTTGTCTGTGGTAGTGAGTTTGAGGTCACATGTTGCAGAGGGGAGGAGAAAGGACACACAGAGGATCTCGATAGCGTCACTAGCGTTGGCCCAGCCACATACAAACAACAACCAGTACTGGAACCTTCCATAGCCTGGAAATCAATGATTAGAGTAAGACTTCTGAATCTGTATTATTCAAACCTATTTCAAATTATATTGTTAACATCAATAAGAAACGAGAAGAAGCCGAACTTCTGTATTAGAGTAGTTTTAGAGCTGTTTGTACTACAAACATGTATATTACCTATTTCATCTGTTCGCCTGTACTTAGCCCGGTAGGGCATGAATGTACAATAAAGGTTATTATTATTATTCATAGCCTACATATTTTGTAACAAGAAATACTTGTATGTTGAAAATGAAACACACAAAAATCTATATTATACAGTGATAAAAGAACATGAAACTACCTATTCAGTGACATTACATCTCATCATCATCATCTAGACAAAAGAAATAATTCAAATATACACATTTAACATTACTATATAAAGGATGAAATATATATGTAATGTTGGGGTAAAAGCAATTTTGTACTGGAATTTAGGCGTCGCAAACACAAAACCCAGTACACCCTGAACATTTCCAGATTTGCAGTAGCATCTATCAGGCTTCAAAAGCAGCTGGAAAGGGTAGAAATGATCCAAACATACAGATAACAACATGCCGGGGAAGTTGGTGCCATGAAAAAGCTTAAGAAGCAGCACATTAAACTGTAGTGCCTTCCCAGACTAATTTCCAGGGTTCTAGCTAGGATTTAAATTTTAGCATAGTGGCACAGGCCGCATGATAAGGGAGCGAAGCGAAGCTTTTAACCATTTGAGCTTAAAAAGAGGCCATTTGAGAGATACCCAAAGGGAAAAAAATGTTATTTCTAAGGTACATGTATGTACAATGTATCCTTGATTGGTAATTTTTCACATTTGATCTGGCATTCTTGAACAAAGAAATACAGTCACAATGCCACTGTGCTGTATTGAAAATTACTAGTAGTTTAGGGGGGAAATTTAGCGTAGGGGGTCAAAATTATAGCGTAGGGGGCCCCTACACTAATTTGCACTAGCTAGAATCCTGAATTTCCCTGGCATGTTATCTGTCTATTTGAGTATTTCAATATTTGGCCAATTTGTAGTCTTTCCAGCCACCTCTAAAGCATGATAGTGAATACATTTACAGTATTTGGGGAATTATTAGCACATACCTGTAGCTGCTATAGCCTCCTCATATGTAGCTCTGTCCTGACTCCTCTGAACTCTCCCTGAGAAAACAACAACAACATTTCCACCAGGCTCTCCAACAGGCTGGTAACCCTTATGTCCTCTCTGTTGGGTCCTCATTTTCTTCAGAACGTGTGATGATTTTCTTCCAACAAGTTTGGTCTTTTCGCTTGATAGTGTTTCCAAGTACAAATGTGTAACAGTGGGGAGTTTATAGGTGCTACCAACTGACCCGGCCGATGGGTCTAGACCTTTTAGCCGAGTGGTTAGAGCATCGGAGTCTGAAGCTGGTGCTCAGGAGGTCGTGGGTTCGAACCCCGGCCTGGGACCAGGGGTATTTATCTGTTTCTACTCGCTCCTCCTGTTTCTTCCAAATGTACCTACATGTAGACGGTGCCTGTACATTACTGATGTGACAACACACAGTGGGCTGTTCCAAAAATCAAGGTAGAGGGGGACTGGAGATTAAATAGTCAGTAGGTTTCAGCAATGTGGATTGAGTCAAAGGCTTACATGTAGGGTAGGGTTTGACTTTCGAGCAAATCTGCATTGGAAGTAGATGTAGGGTACTGTCTAGGGTTTGAACACATCTGAATTGGAAGTAGGATACAAACAAAACCTAAATTTGTACCCCTTCCACCCCCTCTACCTTTTCTTTTTGGAACAGCCCAATCTATTTTTAGTACTAGTATGTCAGAACTGGAAGTTCTTGTTGGAACCAAGGTTACAATTATTTGACATTTAAAGTACTGAAGCGTGAAACACAGCACATGCACCTTGAGACCACGTCTGACAAAATAAGGGCACATCGGCCTAATTTTATGGATGACATCCACGCGCGCATTGATTTTCGACTGTTCTAAAAAAAAAAAAAGGTAATGTCCTCCGAGGCTCTGGCCTGGCTCTAGGCCTGGGTAGTCCATGGTAGTTAGCAACAATAGGGAGCCTGAGGTAACTATGGAGGACAGGCTGCTGAAGCTCCACCACTCATACGTACTACATGTACAATGCCGATTCATAAATTCTGCAAAAAGCCAGCATGTGCCGGCTTGTTGTATATGTCGCTATGTACTACCGCAAATTCACAATACCAGCTTTGCATTCCTGTGGTTAAGTAGCATTTTTATTTTTGGCCGGAATTTTTTTATTCGCTTGCGTGCACTAGTTTGGGGGCCTTCAGAGGATGTCATCCATAAAATTTAGTCAGTGTGGCCTAGGGATTAAAATAGGCAAACAACTTCAGGTTATTGACCTTGAACAAATTCAGGGACAGTTTACGTGGTGAGCTAGGAAAGAAAACAACAGGACCTTGGTCTGTAACGTTTGAAAAACAAACAACATTTTTGTGCAAGTCACTCCTAGCTCCCGGACAAAAACATGTTCGATTTTTCTTCCTCTCAGAGTTGAAGTATTGACATTTCGTACAGCTGATACTTAAAGTGGGTTTCCACGGATCGATATGCAAATAAAGACGTTCCTATGACAACCAAAGGACGCCGGAAGAGTAGGAAAAATATGTATATCATAGTATTCATACATTAAAGTTATAGTAAACTGTTAGCCGTGGACGACTCTGGTACCCTTTTTGCATGATAATGCCGGGACAGAGTCGTGGTGCAATGCATAGGCCAAAACCAACCTTTGCCGTGCCGGGCCTCATGCAACGGGCCGGCCCCGGTTTTTTGGTGTCCCTGGCTTCCCGACGCACTCACCTGCCGGGCCGGGGGGATAAGACCCTAAACAAACGCAGCATTTAACCACAACACGGCCTCGGAGCACGTAACTCCATACAAACCATCGGCGATCGGCGCCATTTTGAAGTTAGGAATCGGCCCGCAAAACAGGTCGGACCCTGAGTTTACGACAGATTACGTCGTTATTTTCAACTCTCCAACGTTCAAGCTGCAGGTATCATGACGTAATCTGTCGTAAACTCAGGGTCCGACCTGTTTTGCGGGCCGATTCCTAACAAAATGGCGCCGATCGCCGATGGTTTGTATGGAGTTACGTGCTCCGAGGCCGTGTTGTGGTTAAATGCTGCGTTTGTTTAGGGTCTTATCCCCCCGGCCCGGCAGGTTGAGTGCGTCGGGAAGCCAGGGACACCAAAAAAACCGGGGCCGGCCCGTTGCATGAGGCCCGGCACGGCAAAAGGTTGGTTTTGGCCTATGCATTGCA